TTAATTATTTCTATATTTCTACCTTTTTACTTTGTTTATTCTAATGATATTTGAGACTTATTATAACTCCATTGTATTTGTTATACCTTGCGTTAAGCTATTAAATTAATAATAATAATAATAAATAATATAACTATATTGCAATTAAATGTATCCATGGTGTACGATAAACCATCACATTTACCACATGTCAGCCTTATAAATTACTTCAGTAAAATTATTCAAATACTCAAACACGTATTTTAAATACATCTGAAAAAAAGTTTTTAGATGAAGTACTTTAAATACTTTCTCAAAGTATCTGTATTTAAAATCAAATACTTTTCTTTTTAGTTCATATATTTTATATTTAACCATGTATAGTTTAATTAATTTTAAAAATAGATTGCCACTGTTTTTTTTAAGTACGCAATAATTTTTTTCGAAAGTAATAAACATTTTTCAATTTAATTTAAAGAAAAAAAACAATTATAATGATTAGTCAGCTAGAATTTATGGTATCCGAATAATTTTAAAATATTTTTTTATTATATGCTAATGCTTACTTGCAATTGAGTAAGTGATGGGCTTCAAGAATGAACTTAAAAATTATTTTGTTGACTCATGTAATATACATTTTAAATTGAAACCAACTATAGTACTCTATACTAAATCCACAATGAAAAATAACTTTGAATCTACCCATAGCAACATAGAACTTAATAAAAAAAAATACACACAACTTAATTATTTCTGACATCAATGTATTTGAGGAACTAATATTTGGAAAGAAAACACTTTTTGACAATTTCAATTGCAGTTTGCAGTGCAAATAAAACCCAGATATCTCTTTAAAATGTGTAGTGAGTAACGAATATAGTGTTATTATATTTTCTGAATTATATATTGTTACAGCAAGTTTTGAACGATTAAATTTTTATCATTTTTTTATACCAATCAATCAATAGGTTCATAATACCCTCCTAATATATTATTATCTGTTTAACAGCTGGTAATTAATAGACATATAAGTGTATACCATTTAATTTATTGGTTTGTGATTAGTATATACGAATATCATTCATAAATTAACATTGCGTGTCGAAAAATGTGATTATTAATTATGTTTGTAATAATATATATTATAATACATAAAACTATAAAAGTCAATTTAATAGGAAACTAGTATAATTTTATCTAGATAGGTGTAATTGAATGAACTACGAATATAATACACACTTTAATAATATCGCGTATTATTCAATAATTTCAATATGATTTAATATAAAATATTCAATATCTGATTCTAAAATATTTTAGCTTAATTCAATATAAAGTAATAATAATAATTATAAAAATATAACATATTGTGTTAATTTATGAAATCAAATATCTATCCTTATCCGTTTTAATCATACTATTAGCACATTCGTAGCCAGCCAGTGAACAAAGAAATGCAAAATTTAGTAATTAATAACAGTGAAAAATTGTTGAAGTGCTTAATATTTTTTTTAAAGAATTAATTGAATGGTGTTACATATCGGATTTTAATTACACCTGGCCCTTGGTTGAGTAGCTATTATCTGTACATTTTTTCTCAGCTTCCAGGAACCGACTTACATATAACGTACCTACTGTATATTAAATTGTAATAGTAGGTACTAGTTAATAAGTTTTGTTTGTATATGAAATTATAAAAAAATAAACCAATAGATATTTAAATAGTAGTATCTAAACATAAATATTTCATGACGAAATATACAACATATAACTTTATAGAGTATTGATAAATATTTAACACACCTTAAATTGGATATTGAATGGTTGGAGAAAATGTAAAGTAACTTGAACAAACAAGTAACAACTGAATATATTGTAATAATATTAGTTTTTGTAGGGAATACTATAGATGCATGATGCAACGGACTACGTATAGTCAAAGGGTCGATAAAATAATATCGTAGTTAGAGGGGTCGAAAATGTTATTATTATATTTTATTTTTTATGAAACTAAACATTTTACACGACGACATATTACACATTTCCCCTTATTCTCTAACCTGCAGTTTACCTGCTCTAAAATGACGGAAATCTCTTAAGAGATGCAGCTGATAGTGTCCACAATTTTGGTTAAAAAAGGAAACACAATGACAAGAATATATAGACTGTCATAACCTTTTTCATTCAACCTAGAAAGCATATTTAGATTCCGAAAACAGTGTGTTGTATATTATCTTACAATTTGTTTACTATATTTTTTTTTACAAAATTTACTTTCACTATATTCGTAGAACTATTGGAAAAAATATATGTTATATATTATTATTCAGAGTGTGAATTACATCTAGCACAGAAGTTAATACTCGTATTTTCGAACTAAGTTATTATTCTTATTTTGACAATTAAAATATTTATTTTATTATACCTACGTATATTATATATATATAATGCAAATGGAATACAATTATCGTTACATGCAGTTCTAAAAAAGTTTTTCGTCACCTAATGTAGTTTCAATAGAGCTCGTGAATTATTATTTCTTTCATGCAAATTACTTCATATCTCATTAAACAATAAAAATTAATATTTACCTGTTAGTATTATTTATTGTTTCATATTCTCATAACTATAAACATATTCATGAAAAATTCATATCCGTAAATAAATAATAAAAAAATAACAAAAATAAATTAATAGAATGTTAGAATGTTGAATGTGTACCTACCTATTTTAATTAAAATTCATAATAAGTAAATAAATATTTACATTTCTATAAAAAGAATACTTATCGAAATTATGAAAATGAATGAAGTAGATATTAAAAAAAAACATTTGAATACGGTGTAGTGAGAATTATATTAATAGTATGAAGTTTTCAAATTACTCTTAATGTACAGCAATAATCATTTAATATTAACACTGAATACTACGAAATGCCTTTTACGAACCAAATAAATAATCTTAATTTATTTATTATTAAATAGGTACATTAAACTATTATGAATGCTAAAAAGTAAATACATTTCAGGTAGATTGAACACTCCAATACATAGTTAATGATTTTAATTTGAATATGTGTAGTTTTGGTGGTACATCTGATTGGAAAATTCGCAAATATAACCCCATAATAATAACATTTTTGGTATAATATTTATAAACCCATCATTCGTCTAAATCTAAATATAATTAAGTTATTTATTTTACTTATGAAAAACCAAAAAAAAAATAATGATACTGGCTACCTTAATTTAGAACCCTTAGGTATATTTTATTTAAATTCTGAGCAAAGTGAAGAATTTGTTGCTTTTAAAAACGTATGATACGTATTAGTAATTTATTACTTATACGGGTAGAAGGTATACGCTTTAAAAGTTGCATCACTACTAGTCTTTTAAATAATTTATTTTTAGAATTTTCTAGTAGCTTTTCTAAATCATGATAAAAAACGCCCAGCATTCCAAAGTGTTACTGTGTTTAGGTGTGCATTTGTAGGAAAATCGGACCTTAGTCCAGAAGAATATGAATATATTATTCAAAAAGTGTAAATTAATAACATTTATAGTTCATACTTTATAGTTTTTCTATATATTTTTTATTGTAACTCAATGTAAAATTAAATATGTCATATCATTTGATATTTTTAAGACACGCTATTTCAACTTATAGGAACAAATATAACAAACTGTATAGATTCTGAATTAATTATTATTATTTTATGAGGGTGTAAATGTTTATTATTGAATAAACGAGATATTATCATTAAACCATTTGGACGTTGCAGTGTTACAAACGTTCAAAATTTATATTTATAGCTTTACTAATTATTGAATATATAATTGATTTTCTATAGTCGATTTTCAATAATGTTGAACCGTTTCAAACAAACGGATTTTTTATGTTAATTTATTTAACAATTATAGATGTTAAAAATTCAGCTTATTACTTTTGTTCGTAATTGTAATAAAACCAAAACAAATGAACTAGTCAATTTTTTTCAACATATTGTGATTTTTAAATGTATTCCTATGGCTTATGTAATCTGGTATACCGTAAACAATAAAAGCAGGTCTAATATTAGAATATGATTACATAAAGAAGCAAACAGATTGAAGAGTATTTCGAGTGGAAGGACCTTGTCAAGTATAAGTTGTGGTATAAAATAAATTTAAATAATATAATAAGTTTAAAAGCAATAAAACTATAAATATCTAGTAAATAATATATACAATTGATTTAGGTATGAATAATTTTATAACCTAAAATAATAAAATTGATCAGTACCATAGAACAAGTAGATACTAAAATACGAGCAGGTATTTTAAAATATTATCATGATTACTAACACTTATTTTGTGACTACTCAGTCCATACTTTGATTATAATACTGAGATGAAAAAAAAAACTTAAAACACCTACTCAAAAATGTTAAGTACCATACAGCAGTTATCGCACTAGTCAATATTTTAAATGATATGTATAGAAACATAATAATATAGAGCTTGTTATGACTGTTTATGAAATAAAAATTTTTACAAAATATTAGGTTTAATGTGTAATATTTATTTTTTAAATGAAATATCCATTATATTCAAGTATTTTAATGTATCAAACGTTTTATTTTTTTTCATAAGCTATTCGTTAAAAATATTGGGTACCTTTCAAATATTTCAATGAGGAAAACCTTAATTATTTAAAAACATTTTTAAACGCCTTTTCTGGGTCAGATTAGCACACACATAGCTAAATATAACCGATTGAAATTTATTCTGTTTTGCGGCAGGTACCAAACACAATATTTGACATCATAATATTATTGATATTTTAATATATTCCGTATGCACTGTCACGGATTATTAAAACCGTATACACACAATACGCATGCAATAAATTGAGAGATATTAAATTTACATATTATTATAGATTTCGATTATCTCATACGTTGCACATAATATAATATTTTATTAAATATCGCGATGCTATTAAATCGAAATTAATATTAATATTATTGTTATATGTGACAGATATGTTTGCTGGACGGCGTACCTGCTGCGGTACCACGGTAAAACGGGCCACGTGGAACCGGTGCCATTACCAGGTGCACCATTCAGCCACTATTACGCCACTGATGCCACTGACGAAGGGATTATAATGGAAACCGACATAAGCGTCAAAGAGGTAAGTACACGCCAATGTTTTCCCTAGTGAAATTAAACGTCTCCCGGCGGCGTTACCCATTACATTATGTGTACGGAAGTGATCGTAAATCAGGTTATAGATTATAACAACTATATTGTATGCGAGTTGGTCCCACAAGTATGATTTATCATTTTGGTTTTTTTTTTAACTCATTACTATAACAACAGTGTTTGTATACCGTTGCAAAATAATAATAACATTTGTAAAATAATATAAAACAAAAATACGTTTTGTAAACACACGAAAGCCGCGCTTCGTTATAGTATCTACCTTGTAACGCCGTGAAATATGATGGTTCGTCTTAACTTAACTAATGAAAATAAATTACGTCATTTTGAAAAATTTGGTTATCCTGAGACAAGAAACATATTGTATAATTAGAAATGAGTTACCGCTTGTGACGAAAAAATAATAATCTTAAATGATGATTCAGAATAAATAACATTTATTTAGAAGAGGGGTGTATGTTTCGTATTATATCTCAAAATATTAATTTGTTATATTATTTAAACCAATTGATCAATTATAAAAAAGGTGAGAAAGTTGCTATACCGTTCTGCAGCTATGCTGTATACTAGGTAGGTGGCGAGTGGGTCACCGTAATGGATGTATTAAGTTTCCATTAAATTATTAAAAAATCTTTCAATACAAAAACCAAATCTAACAGCATATATTACTTAGTATATATTATTCATATACTGAGATAATATTGCTATTTAAGTTATTTATTTTACTTTAAATAATTTAAAACTTAGAGGGTTTAATTAGTTTTTGCCGAAAACATTGAACTTGAAAATGCCATTGTGTGTTAAAAAAAAATAATATACTTTAAATGTTTCAAGTATTCACGAATAATATTTTTAAATTATAACAAAACAATTAAAATCATTATTTTTTGTTAAAATTAAAAATTATGAAATTCCAGCTGCAGTCCAGGCACCTTAGGCTACGACCGCAGAGAGTTCTATGACTTAGATTGTTGTTGATACATAAACTTTTTACATTTCTTAATATATAATTTAGAATTTAGAATTTAATTATAAAATGTAATATATTTAGTAATAATATGACGTACACACACAATGTAAAAAATTCTCTTTCGTATTAATATATTTGTCTCGGTACATATATTACAATAGGTATACACCGTAATAATTTAGAATAATAAAAATAATTAGGTATTTAGCGAAAATATAACAAAAAAATATAATACATAATATTTTTGTCACAGCATAAATGTATACAAAAAAACAAACATAAACAGCAAGAATTGCAAGTATCATAGGTTAAATAATGACAATAAAACGAAAAAACAAACGTAAACAAAAAGAATTACAGGAATTATTGGTCAATAATGCCAAAAAACAAAAAGAAATAGGAAACTTAACTATCAAGAATTACAGGCGTTAGGTAAACAATAAATCATAATGATAATAAAGAATGATGTCAAAAAACAAAAATAAATAAAAATATCATTTTGCGGCAACATTTTCTGGCCGATGCTGTAACAACATAAGCGCCCGGTGAAGCCGTTCTACGACCTGCGGAAGAGCCACATTTATCAAATCCTCATGATCCATGTGACGGACGGCGTCGTTAAAGGGGTCCTCGCGGTCTTCAAGGTTGAAGTCAAGTACTCGGTGTTCGTCTCCCAAAATGCGTTTTCGGATACCTGTGAGCTGCAGTTGTAGCTGTTGTTCCACACCGCCCGGCAGGCATCGCTGATGGTCTCCATCACCTCCTACAACGTCGACGTCTTCGGCTGACAGGACTGTTTCTTCGTGGACCGAGGACGGTGGAATTCCAGGGACACTGTCACTCGGTCGCGTTCCCTCTTGAAATCTTAGTAACATGTCGTTCAATCGACTGTTATCAACGTCGCGATGCAACTGTTGCAGCTGCAGTTGACCGTCGATACCAGGATTACTACTAGATATTATGTGATCGGCCACTACTTTTCCGTCGTCGCACTGCACTTGCACATCAACCACGGATGACGGCCTCGGACGATTGGCCGCATCCACCACACTACTGGAACAACGGCGAGGTAGCATGCACTGCCGCCATTTATTTAAATCGTCGGCGACCCTTACGGTGCTGCTGGGTGATGTAGCGATCGTCTCCGTCGTAATTACGCCACCACCCTTCAATTCGTTCGAATCAATTTCCGCGGCCTCAGACACTGTCGATGAAAACGTCTTCATAGTGATGGCAGCAGAATCGCTGACGCTCTTGATTGGCCGATGCGTTCGACAATGCCTCCACGTATTCGTTGACGACGCAACCGGCGAGCTGATCGAAACTGACACCACTGGCTCTTCGTCACAGTCGTTCCGATCTGCGGTATCTTCGTCCGACGACGAAGTACAATTGGTCTCCTCGAATTCTTCTTCTTAGTCGTCGTCGTCATCTTCTTCTTCGTCACAACTAATGAAAAAGTCCTCATCCGAGTAGTCCGGCAACACTAACGGATGCGTCAACGGTGTCGACACAGCTGCGGTGTGTGATTCTGTGCAGGCAGCTCCCGGTGCTTTTGCGGTGCAGGGTGCCTTCGCGTCCGGTCGTATCAATATGATTACTTTTTTCGCCGTGTAAGCAGTCGGAGCAGTGGTTTTCGTGTGAAACTGCTGCAAATGATGTTGCTGCGGTTGAGTTGCCTTCTTAGTCGGTCTCCAGTCTATGTGCACACCCGCGTAGGACACCTGCTTCATGATCCGTTGCTGCTCGACTCTGCCAAAAAGCATTCGGTTCCTGGCCCACAGTTCCGTTTTCATCAGCTGATGCACTGAACGGATTGGTCTGCACTGTCCCTGCAGACGGGTTACCTCTGACCCGATACCCTCGTCATCTATGCCCAGGCTTTCCAGCGGTCTGGATGGTTGTGGCGGTGGAGGTATCGTCACTGAATGATCTGCAGTCACTAACCACGCTTTGCACAACTTCCCGGTGCTTATAGTAGATGCGTAAAAGAATTCGTCATCGCTATCATCACCATCGTCGTTGTTCTCGGCTGTCGTCTCTTTGATCTGTGTGAACAAAAATAAAATTCAAAAACCATAATGCGAATAAACGATGATGTGGAATCTTAATAATAATCGTGTTTTTACCTGGCTATTTATTGCGTATTCTTCGATGTGACTTTGAAGTTGATTTAACCGTCGCTTGTTGTCGACGGAGACGGACACCGATTTGGCCGACACTGTATCCGCCATTAATGCCAGCAATCTCCGGTTAAGGTTCAACAAGTCATAGATGGTGGGCACGTTCGCTTCAGTGGTCGCCTTCTGGCCTGTTACTCTCCCGGTATGGCTGCTTATAGCGTTGGTCTCCTGCGTCTTGCACCGTTTCTTTTCGAGCTTGCCAAACTTCCGTTCTTGGACCCACAGATCCATTTTCATCAGGCCGGTCACATCAGATCCAAAACCTTCGTCATCCATACCCACGGTTTTGAGTGGTGTGGACGTTGGTAGTGGTGGCGAACGTAGAACGTTTTGCCCCGTCACATTTTCTAACGAGTCGAAGTCCGTGGCAGATGCGTCATAAAATTTATCGTCGTCGTCGTCATCTTCGTCGTCTTCGTCGTCTTGGTTTTTTTTCTCTACATTCTGTATACAAACATAAAAATTCATAGTGCGAATAAACATGGGGGATCTTCAGTACCGTAGCTGGGAATTTTTTTTTTTTTTTTGGGGGGTGTGGTGCATATGCCCTAAGCCCTCCTCAGCTACAGCACCGGGGATCTTAATAATGTTCGTGTTCTTACCGGGCTGTGTATGGCGTATTCTTCGATGTGACTTCGCAGTTGCTGCCAAAGTCGTTTGTTTTCGGCAGAGACAGACACCGATGTGGCCGACACAGTAGCCGCCATTAATGCAAGCAATCGCTGGTTAAGCGCCATCAAGTCGTGAATGGAGTTTATGGCCGATTCGGCTGTTTTGGCCATTTTAGCCTTCTGGTTGATAACGCTCCCGGCATGGCTGCTACTAGCGTCACTGTCGGTATCCATATCGTCGCTGTCAGTATCCATATCTTCGCTGTCAGTATCCATATCGTCGCTGTCAGTATCCATATCGTCGCTGTCAGTATCCATAACAACACTGCGCTTCTTTTGATCCCCCCCATGTGTGGCTGATGACAGCCTGTCCATCCGCTGCTCGGCGTTGTAGATGCGTAACCGGAGCTGAAAGTTTTCGGTCCGTAGCAGATCCAACTCGTCCATAAGATGAATCTGGTTATTTGTCGGTTTCACGGATGTTACGTTTCTGTTGTGGTTGATGATGCACTCATCGTCAACAATATCGTTACTACGGTATGGTCGACTATCGTGGGTGCTCTGGAGCTCCACGATGCTCGGGTTTGTAACTGGCCCCGGTTGAGGCGAACCCAAAATTTCGGTCGATCGGCATTGTATACCTAATAATTATTAATTACGAATATTATGTAATACAGTTTATGCAATATCAATATACATCAAAAGAAAATACCGTACATGAATCGAATATTGGTCGTATGGTTTTTTAACTATAACTACATAGATGGAAATAAATTCTAAATCTTTTAAAAAAAAAAAAACATTTATCAGGGCGCTACACTCTTTTGTTGTCTCTGTCTTACAAGTGCGTAACTTGTTTAACGCGGTTTATGTTCAAATTGGTTGCGCATGTAACTAAGATATGCGAAGTGTAAGTGAACAATAAATAATATTACAATTAATTTAGGTACGTATTTTAATGATGATAAACTTAGGGAAGAAAAAAAAAACGCAAACGCGTAAAAGTGTAAAATACATAGGTAACAAATACGTTCGGCGATTCATGTTTATTTTTGAAAGTTGTAATATTAGCGCTATAATTCGCTTCAAAATGAAAACGCCGGAAAAACACATTAAAACACAATTTTATTAACCGTTAACCGCCTTTAATTATTATACATTGGTAATACAATAATACGTAAATTCAATTCACTCTAAGATTAAATTTAATGAAACTAAACATGAATTGCTCTATAGTCGGAAGGTATTTTTTTTTTGATTGCATTGCAAAAACCACAAACTAAATGTTTACGAGTCCTGCACCACTAGTCCAGAGTCGTTTAAACTTTAAGATCACGCCATAGTATCGCAATGAGTTAATTATTTTAAGTGTAAAAAATAATACAGTAACGATGTATATTATAACTATACCTGATTCCGAAATGTTAATTGCGTGCGATTCCATATCGTCGATAGTGGAATGCTTAATTTCAAAAGTGTTTTTTTTGCAAGTTGAAGTGTCAAGATTGCTCAAAAGTTTTTTAGGTGATATTTCAAAAATCTAGTTTGAAAGAATAATTAATACTGAACAAAAAAAAAAATTATTACACGTTAATAAACAAAATGCGTTACTTGGTGACGCTATGTATTGTTTATGCGTATAGCCAGATAATATTACTTCTACTACTACTACTACTACTACTAATAATAATAATTTTATAATGTGAAATATATAATGAATAACTATTCCGTGTACGGGGAAACAGTATGGTAACTTAATAAGCAATATTAATAGTAATCGAAGAACATGAAAGTAGCTTGTGACAAGAATAAGGAGAAGTGAAAAAGCGAAAAAAGTACGCAAGCCAGTTTGAACCGTTCTGCTGTAATGAATGTGTTGAATTTGAATTTAATAATAAAATATAATTTTATTCGAATAACCATTATGAAAGATGAATTAAGTCTTTTTCAGTACAATAATATTTTTAATTTACAAACAAATAACTAAAATCGTTAATCTCCGCTTAAATATCTACTTTTGTCTAATTTTAACTTAAAATATCTCTTAAATTATTGTGTTTGTAAAGTTTGTAGATTTTTATTTACAGTATGAACTACTCTCGAGAAACCTTGTAAAAATTGTGAATGTTTGAAAAGATTGAACATTTTATACATTATTACCTTCATAATAATTTGCGAATTGTTGAAAGTTGAAAGTTGAAATCTTTATACATAAAATACGTGAGTTTAATATCTTAAATAATTTTAAGCTGCTATTCAAACAACTTATGAGGAACCATTTATTAAATTGTCAAGCTGTTTGACCCGAAAAACATTTTTTCTATTAACATTTATTGAAAACAATTTAAAAAGTTCAAAAGAGACAAAATATTTTAAAAATTTTGTGGCCTGTGTAGGTATAATTGTATTTGGGGGGGGTAAGTCGGGGAATTGTCCCGTCTACCCCCCCACGTATGTATGTATAATTATTTGTTATTTTCAAATAAACGATGGCGGCGTCGCGGCAGTAATGCGAAAGCAGTTCCCGCGGCGCCGTCGGTTCAAACACGAAAAAAAAAAAAAAAAAAAAAAGGTATAATTGTATTATCGTAACATAAACATTAAGAGAAAATTCAAAGTATCTTAGGGTGTTTGTTATTTAATTTTCGTATTTGGGTTAGGTACAATAAGAAAAAATCGATTTTGTCGAGGACTGATTTTGATAAAATAAATTCCCGGTTTTTTTAAATTTTTTACGCTCTCGATCTCGTTGCACTGACTTGATTTACTTTTTCACCAGAAAAAGTTACTGAAGTTGAAAGTGGAAGCATTATTTCGACTACTCTGCTCATCGTGTAAACACTTCACAGACACACACACAAAATAAAACATTGTAAAATAAATACATTCATCGTTCAGAATCTGAAATAATAGATTTATGTATTTTAAATATTTATAACACTTAGTGTATAATTAACACATTTTGTATGCATTATAGTAATGTTAAAACAACAGTTAGTAGTTTTGGATTCATGGGTATAATATACATACACATAATATTTGTAAAACTACAACATTCCTATGCAATTCATAATCATTTTAAAAAGGAAAAAATATTTATGGTATAATATTTGCATTGTGCATACAACTAATCTTTTTATATAAATTTAAATATATGAAATAATGATTACATATTGATAGGTGTTTATTAATTCATTGGAGTAAATTAATTTTATTATAAAAGGTAATTGGTCGGAAGATAATATTTTTGCAAGTATTAAGGGACCTGGTTGAATAAAGCTAAAAGTGCATAAATAATTGGACTATGTACATATTAAAAAAAATCAAAATCACTTTCAATAACTTTAAGACCCTGGCGAATATTTTAAATCTATATAAAGCAAAAACAAAATGTATTTATCATAATATATGTATTACTATAGATAAGGGTCATTTATTATCGAAGATAATATAGATAACACTATTATTTTTATAGCTATGTGTCTGAAAGTATTCAATTTGACAATATATTTAATTACAAATTAAAAATTATTTGTTTTTGTTTTTTTTATATAATATATAATTAGTGAATGAACTGTGTGTCGAAATGATATTTTAAGTTATTTTGAAAAGGAAATCTCTTCACTGAATACGCTTGACCTAGAACTTAAAAATATCAAATCAAAATCATAAAGTAATAATTGTTTTTCATATTCTTTTAACAAAGTTTTTGAAAAAAAAGGGCAGACTAAATTCGAACTATTATAGTATTCTACATTACGACTAGTAAAGTTTTATATTATTTATCGCTAGGCGTATGTTGACTTCCTACAATAATTTTATTGCTTACTGTGATGTCATATTGGAAATCCTAACATAATAACATAATAATATAATCTCCATGCATGAATAATGTGTTCGTTGTAAGTATGTTTTTTATTTATTCATGCTGGAAGTGGATAACTCAAAAATATATATATTTTTTTATATATAAAGAATCATTTAAATATTTTTATCTCACGTGAATTTAAAAGTAAATATCAATACGTACTTATTGTGTTTTATTTTTTGTTGAAAATCTAAAATATATTTTTCACTTTTATATTATGTTTATTATACGTATCCTTTGCCAATACAATTTCCTTATTTACCTTTGTATGATTATGTATGTAATAAACCTTGTGTTATACACATAATAGTATGCATATTATGTGTTTTTTAAATTGATGTGGATGTTATGTAAACATTTTTTTGTTTTGTAATTTACAGAATAATTTCAATATTACATTAATCAAATTTTGGTTAATATTTGTAAATATGTATTATAAATTGATACAATATAGTATATCCATTGCATTTTGTGACAATTATACATTGTAAACTAGGCAAGACAAGTCAAGAGTCTTGATATCTTTATTTTTCCCTACAATTAAATAAAAATTATTAGGTTTAGATTAGAATTTAAAATACTGAATAATGGGTTTTTTGTAAAAGGTACCTATACAATAAAAAGTTATCATGCACGTTTACAATAATAATTATGATAAACTCAATTTAATAGTCTCTTTGACTATTATAACTTGTAATATACAGGATGTCATGTGAGGATTTACCCATTGCAATATCTCCTGAAATAATGAAGATATCATAATTCCATTTTTTTATTAAGACTCACAGGGACAAACACTACAAATATTTCATGTTTTAATTTTTTTTAATGTTTTGGTAAAAAAGTTAAAAAATATTTTTTTCAAAAAAATCGAAGATAGCCATATTGTAGAGTTAATTTTTCTGAAAATATTGACGTTTCAACGTTTTGATTTCATTAATCTCCTGATTTTTAATATTTTTTCTAGTTTCTAGAAAAACAGCGAATTATTTAATACCATAGTGCCATAGTTGTAACAAACATGTGTCCCGCGACCCGCGTGCTCGTACGGCCAGTGAACGCTTTCAGTGTGGCTCGCAATAACCATATTATTTTACTTCTTCTAAATTTATTGATGACATTTAAATAATTATTAAACAAAAATCAATATGTACATATTTGTAATACTTAGTATTAATTAATACTGTTTTATTATAATAATTATGATCATTAGATAAAATAAATTTATTTTGTTTATTTTGGATTTAGTAAAAAAGGTATTATGTCCGTAAACTTATAAATACGTAATAGCATTGATTTTAGAATATTCTAAAATCAATGGTAATAGTCAATATTATTATTATAATATTCGATATTATAATCTTGTATCGTTTTCTGATAAGATTTGATAAATAACTTATTGATCAACAAATTACCGTTTGATAACAATTAAACAATTATTCAATTGATTAAAAATTACCAAATTACAAAATATTATGTCTACCATTTAATTTTAATAATTAAATAGTTATTCCTAATTCTTAGTTGTATTATAAATTCTGAATCATAAATTTATTTGTAAAGTACCTACACATTTTTTAACAATATGTAATTTCTCAATATCTTAATGCTTATGAATAAAGTTACAATGGAACAAATTATGATTTGAATTTTAATTATTCTCTGCACATAAAAATACCTATCATATTATTTAATAAAGTTTTAATATTATTTTATGGGTCGAACAAATTTTGCAGTACCTATTAAGTATTAGGTACATTAAAATTGTATTGTATTTAAT